GAGAGAGAGAGAGAGAGAGAGAGAGAGAGAGAGAGAGAGAAGGTAGGTTAGGGAACGCACGTGGCGGCTCACACCATGTGGCCACGTGTTCCCTAATCACAATGAGAGAGAGAGATAAAGGGAGGTTAGAGAATGCACCTGGTGGTGTGGCCATGGGGCATGTGCGGCCACCTGTTCTCTCTCTCTCTCTCTCTCTCTCTCTCACGCAGTTCTCATGGTGCTTCCTGCGCATGTATGCTCATGCTTTTTTTTAATTACTATATTTTTGGCTGCAAGCTGGTTGGCAAGCTGGTTCTGGCCAGGGACACGTTTTTTGTTCCCAGCCTGTGCCGTTACCGGCCCTGTGGCGGGTCTCTGGCCTCAGGCCTGAGTCCCTGAGTGTCTGGGGCGGGTCTCTGGCCTCAGGCCTGAGTCCCTGAGTATCTGGGGCCGGAGGCCGACGAGTCCTACGCTGGGAAACTAGGCATCATGCCAGATGTTTTTGCTTGGAAACTTGGGGATCCCGGTAAAGCTGAAATGAAACATATATTTTTGCAAAGGTAACTTCCGAGGGGACTAAAAATTTTTGCTGTGAAACTTAGAGAAAGCAATATTTTTGTAATTAACCCTTAAAACTCTCGCCTGAGCATAAAATATAGCGCATAAACCCTTCGGGCTGAACATATGTCCATGTGATAGGCATCTGCTTCTTTTTCTTTCCTTTTTTTTGTCTGTTTGTGAATTGCAGCTCTCTCTGCAGAGTGTCCACACCACAGAACGAAAAAAGGAAGGCGAAAGATAAAGAAAGAAGAAAACAAATCTCGAAAGAAAACTCGTGGTGATCTTGCTCATGGTTGCGTTGCAATTAGTTTGACTTTGACTTTGTGAGTAGCCACTCGTGCTCTGTAATACAAGTGGCCTCCACTCCTCTGATTTAATTTTGACTTCGACTTTGACTTTGACTTTGACTTTGACATATGGCTAAAACTTCTTTCTGTAAGACGCCCCTCAACAAAAATGGAAGTTTCATTTTGAGTTTTAGCTGAAGTGACAAGAGTGGCACGGTGGTGTTTCAAAAAAATCGAAATGATTTTGTATTTCTCGGAAATGGCATTGTCATTGGCTTTTGCTTTGTCTTTGACTTTTGTGTTTTGCTTGGTCTTTGGCTCTGGCTTCGGCTTTGACTTCGACTTCGACTTTGACTTTGACTTCGATTTTGACCTTGACTTCGAGTGAGTTTGACTATGACTTTGATGGGTCTGCTGCTGTTGTTGGGCTGTCGACTTTTGTGGCCAGTGTATGATACAATTGCTCCTCACTTCAGGTAATTTGTTTTCCCCCAACCATGATGTACCCATCAGTCTCACAACTCTAAATTTGACCCCCAAAACAGAAAATTTCAGTCTCACAACTGTAAATTTGGCAGATACGAACGCCTTAGTACTTATTAAAACAACACAACACTTCATTTGTTTTCCCCGACCTGTGTGAAACCGTCAGTCTCACAACTTTGACTTTGACCAAGAAAAAAGAAAAGTATTCCTTAGAACGCCAGTTCACCCGGGCCTAAGTTGCCAAGGCCCCTCTACCTTCCAAGGCTAAGCTGGTGAAGCCCTCTATCTTCCAAGCCTAAGCTGATGAAGCCCTCTACCTTCGAAGGTGGGCGAGCCTCCAAATGGGACTGCTCATAGTGGCCTTCTGCCTTCACTACGGGCCCGGGCCCAGGCCCAGGCCGGAATCGACAACAAGCCCTCTACCTTCGAAGCCTAAGTTGACGAAGCTACTTTCCAAGGTCTCATAGTGGCCTGCTGCCTTCACTACGGGCCCAGGACGGAATTGGCAAGCCCTGTTGTATGAGAGGCCAACTTCGGCGGGGGTGGAGTGGTGGTTTACAAACATCTATCCTTCCTCTCTTTTGTTTGTTGGTCAAAAAGAAAGACAAGAACTTATCCTCTTGTGGCTATGTATGGCTTAGAGATCTTCATCCCTTTCACCTCTGAGCTATAATTATGGGTTAGAGATCTTCATCCCTTTTATTTCTTGGCATTCTAACAAAAGAGCTGCATCGTGCCACTATTGGATTCATACCCCCCTGTCTTCTCTCCCTTGCGCTAAGGGGCAGAAAAAGCAACAATGCAACAGTCTTTCTTTGGGTTGTAAGCCTTGGTTGGCCAAGTTAATGTTCAGGGATCATAACTTCATAAGTCATGCTGTACAGTTGTAGGGGCCAAGGGTTACGATCCGGCAGCATGATTTTTTTGACCCCTAGAATGTATGTGACCCCTGAATGCTGAATTTTGACCCCTGAATGCTGAATTTTGACCCCTGAATTTTGACCCCTGAATGTTGACCCTTTGGGTCGTAACCGTTGGCCAAGTCAGCATTCAGGGGTCTTTGGAGGTTGTCACCCTTGTCCGAGTCAAAGTTCAGGGGTTGGAGGAAGTCATGCTGTAGGGTTGTAGGGTGCCACAACTTGGAAGGGTCACGACCCAACACTGTGACTTTTTTGACCCCTAAATTTCTGCTTATGAAAGTTGAATTTTGACCCCTGATGTTGACCCTTTTGGTCATAAACCTTGGTTGAGCCAACATTCATGGGTCTTTGGGTTGTAACCCCTGGCTGAGTCAAAGTTGAGGGGTCAAGACTCAAAAAAAGTCATGCTGTAGGGTCGTAGGGGCCAAGGGTTACTTACTACCCGATAGCATGCCTTTTTTGACCCCTAAAATTTGACTGCCGTAGTTTGACTCAGGCAAGGGTTCCGACGTCGGAACTTGGACCCTTTGGGTCCATAGTACAGCATCCAGGCTGAGTCCCAAGGCCACCCTGGAAAGGTCAACCCAGGACCCAGGGAAGTTGACAGTGAAGCCCTACCCAGGCACCAGACCAAGAGTGAGTCAAAGATTACTCCAGAACATCAACCGTGGCCGCATATCGCAGACAAATCCAAAGTCTCCGAAAATGATTTCCAGATGAGCCCAGGTCATACTGGGTCCAAGCCGCCTCAAACTGAGATTGCATCTCAACCGGACAGATAAATGAACCTCAGCCATCCATTGGAGCCAAGAGGAGGCATTCCAGGCCAGTAGACACAACAGAAGTTGGCCTCCAGGCCAGTTGCCTTTCGCAGGCAAAGTTTAACTCGAAACACCAAAATAGTAAAATAGTAAAAAATACCATACACTGCATTCTTTGGAGGCGGGGGCACCTCCGGACCGGAATGGCTGGCGGCGCTAGTCAAAAAAGGGAAAAAAAAGTCACGCTGGCGCTTCGACAAAGCTTTGTGTGCAGTTCTTTTCTGCCTCGGCGAAGAGACGCTCGGAGGTAGTCGTGGTTCAATAGGAAAAAAGGCAGAAACGTTTTGAATCAAAATTCCAGAAACATTCTGGTTCTGAAATCGAAAAAAAAAAAAGAAGATACTGAAAGTAACTGAATCAACAGAAGATCCTTATTATCCACAATGTTTCTTACTTGATGTCATCTTTCTGCCTTTTTTTTTTTTTTTTTTTTTCCCCTTTCCCTTGGAGATATGCTCCAGTCTCTTGGTGGGGCGCATCACCTGCTTGAAACCGGGCCCAGCGTCCCAAGTACCACCACAAGGGTAGCATGAGGATTAACAACGCTGACAACTCGTTCATCCTGGGAGCATTGATGTTGATGTCATCTCTGTTCTCTTGAATTGCAGCTCAACACGTTTTGCGAAATGGCCGAAGGTTGCGCAGTTTCTGGAGTCCCTTCCTGTTGGTTCCATTCTTGCAGACTCTGGATGTGGAAACGGTGAGGGCCAAACACGCTGATGTGGAAACGGTGAGGTCCTGCACTGGAACTGCAGGGACAAAAAAGTACAGAACCTGAAGGTGTTTTTTTTTTTCCCCCCCCTTTTTCTGAAAGATTTTTGCAAGATCCTTGAATCCCTGAACCCCAAGACAGAACAATATATAGCTCAGAAAGATGATGAATATTGTGGAATATCTCCCGTATGAATCTGGACAAGCTGGTCGTCCAAATGCGTCCTGCAGATGCAATATCCATCGTATGAATCGGAACAGGCCTCTCATCTAGATGCATCCTCCAAAAGTTCAGGCGGAAGGTTGCATACGCTGCGTCATAGGAGGTGCTCTGAAAGTGAAGCTTCATGGAATTGTGCTATCAGAGGCACCGCGCCTCCTATGATGGGGCGCATGTGACGTTTGACTTAAGACTTTTTTGGTGGATGCATTTGGATAAGCGGCTTGTCCAGATTCATATGGTGGATACTGAAGTTGGAGGGGGGATCTGGATGATTGGCTTGTCCAAATTCATATGGTGTATATTGCATTTGGTTGGTGCTTTATTTCCTCCTGCTTCATGTGCAGTTATATGTAGACAACAGATATCTCCAAGTGAATCTTAGTCCTGATTAGAGGTTTGATCAGTCAGGGAGCCAGTTGTATGGTAGGTACCTCCAAGTGAATCTAGTCATGATTGGAGGTTTGATTCGGATGAGGCTGACTCAGATATATAGACACAGATGACCTTGACAGAGAGTCACAGACATCTGCGCGCTCCCGAGGTCAGGAAAATGTTATTGTTTGCTGCAATATTATCCACATGATTCCACAATTTTCTTCTTCTTCTTCTTCTTCTTCTTCTTCTTCTTCTTTTGCGGCAACAAACTGCGCAAATCACTGTCCTGCAGTTTCTGAGAAAATGCTGTTCTTGTGGTTTGCTTTCTGGGAATTCCCAGTCTGAGGGCCTGCTCACACTAGCACTATCTTAAATGTATCTAACCGCATATACGGCCGGAGCTGTCCGCATCTGCCCACAATTCCGTTCAGAAAGGAGTTGAAAAAGTGCTAGTGTACGTATGCTCTGAGTCTATTCTGCTGTTATTTTTCTGTGATCTCTACGTGTGTGTGAGACCTACTACTAAAGTGTCTGCCCCGCCTCGTGTGCTTGCCTGGGCCCCAGTCTGGGTCTGTGTGTTAACTTTGACGGCTGTGCTTGTCTGGTGCGGTTGGGATGGGCGTCGACTCATCTCATAGCATCATCCTCTCGAGCGGCGCGTGAATGGCGTGCAGTCGCTTGAGCGTAGCAACGATGGGGATGCGAAATGCGTGTCGATGCAGGAGGCTAGATACAGGCCGCCCTGAGGGCGAATTGCAGGCTGAAATGATGTTCCTGCCAAAAGGAGGAACACCCAGTAGGCCTAGTGCGCCCAAGGGAGGTTGGGTAGTGCTGGGTAGTGCCCCGCCAGCAGGTACCGGAGGTCGAGCAGCCAAATTACATACGTGGGTGTAGTGAATAGAGCAGAATGCTTCGGCTCATCGTTCAAGTGAGTATATTCTGCTCTGCCCAGAGGGGAATGTTGGCAGAGCACTTGGAGGAGAAGGTCGAGCTGGAGGGTGATGGTGAAGACCTCCATGGCTATGGAGGAGCAGTAGGGAGCTGGTGGAGGTAGGCCTAGGCTATGGATGTGAGGGTGATGGACCTCTAGCCAGGCTATGGAGGAACCGTAGAAGTAGGAGGAGGAAGAAGGAAGTGTGAACCGGGAAGGAAGAGGCAGAGGCATAGCAAACATTGGGCAGAGGTGAAATATCAATGTGGCAGTGCTGAAAGAGTGCATGCAGCCAGCACACAACGAAGGGAGGAGCAGCATTGCGGTAGCTGCCCGCACGTGGGCTGCCATAGCCGGGTGAGCACAGTGTCGTGCATGGGAGAAGGCGGTGAGTGGTCGGGCAAGGTCAGGCAAGAGGAATGGCCGTGTGGACAGGCAGATACTTACCTGGTGCGTGGCTGGAGAGCGCATATATGATACTGTTCAGTGGCATTTGGATAGATAGATAGGTAGACAGACGGACGAACACTCGGACAGACCGACGGACAGACGGACGCATGGACAAACAGACGGACGGATGTGGATGGATGAATGGACGGTCGGAATGCGATGGATGAAATGACGGACTGACAGACCAACGGATTGACAGACCGACAGACCGATGGACCGACAGACTGACCGACCGATAGAGCTAGTAGGCTAGCATGTGTAGGCCAGAATAGGAGAGTAGCGTAGGCGGACATGTCAGGACATGTCATAGTAAGCACTACTGCTCTGTTGTTGTATTGATCGTTGGCGGCGTGAAGAGGGCTTTCATTGTCAAAAGACTTCAGTGTTCAGTGTTCAGCTTTCTCAATCTGCTTGCAATCTGGTTTATTCATGTATGGTCTTCGATGAGCTCTTGCATCACTGATATTTTGAGTTATCGTTTGCTGTGTCCCCTCCCCACTCCCCACCCCCCTCCAGTCTCTGCAAGAGAAGTCCCTTGGTGCTGGGGCTTTGCCGCACGCCCCTTCAGGTTCAGTTTCCGCACTGAAAACCGGTCTAGTCCACTGGGCACCGAAGGCCAGACTCCGACCTGCTGTGAGCGCATCCCACCTGGCCCTGGCCTTCCACTGATACTTTTTTTTTTTTTTTTAACAAGAAACATCACCTTTTATCAATACCAATCAGGCGAGTCTGCGTTTGGTTGATCCCAGTCCGATGTGCACAATCCTTTTGCAGCACTGCGGGTTACATCTCTCCGAACTGCTTATCAGAACCGTCCTGCGGTTAGAGCCATGTGCTACGAAAGGAGCTCTCTAGCACTGTACTCACTTTACGAAATTCCTGAATGTACCTAACCTTAATGACAACCAGATGCAGTTGAAAGAGTCCATGTGTGAATACACCCTGAAGCCCCATGCAGCCTGACATATTTTTGAGACTTTTTTATTTTATTTTTTTTAAGCGCGACGGCCTTGAAATATCATCGCGAAGGCGACCGGCCCGAGGTAATTCAGGAAGTAATTCAGTTCATCTAGTTTTTTTCTGGATTTGAACTCCGGTCTGTATTTCAACAGTTTATAGGTGTACCAACTGAGCTAGGCCCGCTAGTATATATACTATTTGTATATATATAGTCAAACAGAGCTGCCCGTAAACTGTAGGCAGAGAGGGAGAAGAGAAGAGGACAAAAAACGAGGGGCTGTGGAAAACTGTTTCGTCGGAGTTTCACCGACTCATCAGGAGGCTGAACCCTCAACAGTCTGCAGAATCCCCTAACTGATTACACTGTAAGTGATAATCCACCTTAACCCCGGCTGTGGTTAAGCATCAACGACTGCCCGACAACTGATACCCTGAGGTGGGCACCAAAAATATATATTTGCAACTTTAATTGATGTCATTGAATTTTAAATTTTAGCTTTTGCTTTTGCTTTTGCTTTAACTGTTATAGAATCCTGTCACTTCCTTTTAGTAGTTTTTACTTTACGACTCTTTTCTTTCTTTCTTTCTTTCTCCCTTTCTTTCATTCTTTCTTTTGTTAAGAGTTTGTTCTTTCTTTGATGTGTTGATTGGACTTGATTTGTTTCAAAATCTTCGTACTTTTTTCGTCTCCTGATGTTGACTGCGTTGTTTTTTTTCCTTCTTCTTTTTTTTTCACTTTCTTTCTTGGCAGAATGTGTTGAGTGAACTTGAGTGGATTGCTTCTTACATCATCTGTTTGCTGTTGCATGCCTTGTTGGCGCATCAACTGCTGCTGGGATCATTTCACACAGGATGATAGGAGATCCTTCACGGGCCGTTAACCCTTGTTATGCATGGCCTTCCTTCCATGGCCGACAATTCTTATCAACCTTGTCTGCTGCTGTTGATCGGGGGTGGGTGCCATCGGTTTTCAATCAGGGAAGTATCTTGGGTTCAATCAAGGGGTTTTCCACCTGGCTAGTGACATAAGCCCCCGCTTGGTGAAGATATGCAGCTCCAGGTAGGACTACTAAATGGAGATCTGGCCCCATCTGGGAACTTTTCCCCACTTCCTGATTGCTTTCCTCTTCATCTCCTTCATTCCTCCCTCCCTCTCCCTCCCTCTCCCTCCCTCCCTCTTCTTTTTTCATCCTCGTTTTTTTTTTGTTTTTTGTTTTCTTGGCCTTCCGTCGTTACTTCTTTGTTTCTTTTTTCCCCCCTTCTTTTAAGTTTTTTCCTCTTCTCTGCTTTCCTCTCTTTCTTTGTTCTTCTGACTCCCTCCCTCCCTCCCTCCCTCCTGATGATGTTCATGCCCTGTCTATCTTGTGGGCGTCTCTCTCTCCGTTCTTACCTGTGTTGATTCCCTTTTAATATTTTATCCTCATGTTCTCTTCTTCTGTCTTCCTTTTCGTCCTATTCTCTTCCTTGTTTGTTTTCTACTCCTCCTTCTTCCTCTTCTTCTTATTTCCCCCACCCCTACCATTCGTTCTGGATGACCTATGTGGTCGCTTCGGGACTGGCCCCCGTTTCCAAGGTGACCAGTAATGTGTTCTCTAGTAGAGGAGTGAGTGATGTGGATGTATTCGCCTGACTATACATCCAGATCCAGTTATGTGTTTTGTTCTGCTGTGTACCCAAAGCCCTAGGGAAGTCTTTTCTAGTGTTCTCTAGTGTTATTCTACTGTTTTTCTAGTGTTTCTTAGCATTCTTGGTGAATCAACGAGTGAGTCCTTTCTACTACTGTTTTCTTGTATATGGGACGCTGGACCCGTCACCCCGCCCCNCCCCCCCCCCCCCCCCCCCCCCCCCCCCCCCGATAGATGGGGCCTCTCCCGTAATGCTACTGGTGTCTGCTCCTGCCAGCATCACTAATGCACAAGAGGGTTGTTTAAAAAAAAAAGAAAAAAGAAAAAAAGAAAAAAAAAAAATAATAATGATGTATCTGAAGTTGAACTTCTGAAGTTTTTCAAGATTTTCATGTTTTTTGCTCCTGACTCTTCTTCACAGTCTTCTGATTGATTGTTGCTGCCATGGATGGACTTCCAGTTATCTGTAAACCTTACCATGAGTTCGAACCCAGGCCATGTGGCTTGAATGAGACGCACATGAAAGGAACTGTTAGTAAACAGAACATGAGTTCGTCGAAATTGGAATCCGTATTCTGTTTTTTTTTTTTTTTGTTGTTGAAATGAACAAAGTGGACAGTTAAAATGTAAAACAGAATTAAAGGAAAGAAATTGAAAGAATACTATGCTGCTGACACCCAAGAAAATGTGAGCTACCTTATGATTGATTACCCTTGCCGAACTCCAACGATCGTGAGTTCGAATCCTTATTCAATCTGGTATGATTGAGGAGAACACAACGAAGTTAGGGACTACCGCCTTTTTGGAAAAAGAAAGTAAAAAGTTATTTCCAAGCCTTACAGCAGGCAGAAACTAGGTAGTTGGGGATAATATGCCAGCGCTCAAACCTCCATGAGAGCGCGCCTCTATATTCTGCCGCAGGAGGGTGGAGTGGAGGGGTGTCCATTACAGCTTCGGCTAGGACCGTTCTCTTTCTGGGTGTTTTGACGAGATGTTCTGTTGAAGGAAGGAGTTGCTTTGGACTTGCTCATGGATTGGAATGGATCGCCTGTGGCTTGGTGCACACACTTTGTGTCGCCAAACGTCTTTGTGTTTGCATTGTCAGTAGGTAAATGCACTGATCTTGCTATCATCACCATCCCATCGGCCTCTTACATGCAGTCGTCTGCTGGATGATCTTGACGCGTTCTGTCGAAATGCTGCAGGGGTTATGATGTAGCAATTGCAGATTCTCTATGCCTACCGTACCGAGATGATGTGTGTGATGGGGCTATTTGCATTGCTGTTCTGCACCATATGAGCACGGAAGCGCGGCGCAGGTAGGGCATGCATGTACCTGAAGCTTGTAGACTTCTGCGGTACTGTCTTTTTTTTTTTTTTTTTTTTTTTTTGTGTGTGTGTGTGTGTGTGTACTAACGGAGCTCGGGCCGCCTGTACCCCTGTGGTACTCGTTAAGTCTTATTTTATTTTGAAAATTTGAATTCTATTGACACGATTTGACAGCACTTTTCAAAACGACAATCCTCTGCTTACATGATAGATCGAATGCTGCGCAAGAGAGGGATCTTGGTGAACCTCCTCCTCCCTCTGTCTGGGTAATGTGGATGTTTCCTTTGCCGTCTTGTTACCTCAACTCGTGCCATCTCCTGATCTTCTCCAGCCCTTCTCATTTTCCCTGTGGCAATCGACGAGCCTGCCTCCCGGCCCTCCCCGCTGCAATCTTTGGGCCTCGTCCCCCGCCTCGTACCAATATGTCCGTCGCAACGAGAACCATCTCTGAACCTCCTCTCTCCATGATCGGAAAGTGTGTGTAACAATGGTGAGTCTAGGACAATGACCACCTGCGTGCCGTCATGGCGATTAGGTCGTGGGGATGATGGCGTTGCGATCGTCCTCGTGAGTCTACGATGATTAATCAGGAGCTGAGCTGTACCAATTCTCTGCTTCTGTGTGAAATTGTGGTTAGGCCTTGAGGGCATACTCACACCAGGACTTTTTTTCACTGAGCTGTGGACGTGATAGCGGTCAGATGCATCCAGGTCGGGCCGTAATTGCAGTCCGATACATTTAGGAAAGTGCGATGATCAGTCAGGACCTGACCTGTACTGATGCTTTGCTTCTGTGTCGAATTGTGGTTAGGCCTTGAGGTCATATGCACACCAGGACTTTCTTTGCTCTGAGCTGTGGATCTGATTGTGGTCAGATGCATCCAGGTCTGGCCGTAATTGCAGTCCGATACATTTAGGAAAGTGCTAGTTTGAGACCCTTTGAGACTGCAGTGCTGAGAGCCTGTGTGTAATTTGCTATTGTGTTTCCGTGACGTACCATGGAACGAATGTGCATGTGTGGCGGAATATGTGTGTGTGTGTGTGTGCACTGTTCAGTGATCGGCATTTGTGTATGATGACAAGCATCCCTGTGTCTTGGGACGATTAAAAATCCGAACTGTAGAGTTTCTGACAAGGAGAAAGTGTCTGTGGCAGCAATGCAATGGTCACAAACAAACAAAAAAAAAAAAGTGTGATCAGAATGTATGTGATGACTATAGTAATGAATTCTATGAAACATAGTGTTCATTGAACGCGCGTTTCCTGCTCAAAATTTGAACGGTTTGAACTTTGAGCGCGTACGAACGCGGAGCTCAATTCCGCGGTTGAACCCGCAGAGCCACAGGGGTGGGGAGGGGGGGGGGCCGGCTGCGCCGGGGAAGCGGTCGTGGGGTGTCTGTTAGGGGCGCTGGCACCCCCTGACCCCGGAAGAATAATAGAAAGGGAAAGAAAACGAAGAGAACTTTAGGCTACCAGAGTGGCCTGGGTCCACTTGCCCGGCCGGGCCAAAAAGATATAAAAAATATTAAAAAATAAAAATAAAAATTATTTTTTTAAGCTGAGTGGGGATCCGGGCAGCCCGGGTGACCGGCAGGGGCCCGGGGGAGGTCTCAGGCGGCCTGGCCGGGCAGGGCACCCGGTTGGGGGCCGGGCCCCCCCAGCGCAGTCACCTGTCGGGGGATTTCGGACCCCCTTTGTGTGTGTGTGTGTGTGTGTGTGTGTGTGTGTGTGTG